TTCTGTTCATTAGCAAGTTAAAGATCCATCTCCCTACTTTGCCAGTAATTCCTTTTGCACATATCTTGTCTGCAAAACACCTTGCTCACATTTGTCAAAAGCTTTTGCAAAATCTGTGTATTGTATATTTCATCAGTGTTTTGCTCATCTTCTATGGTATCTAAAGCCATGTCATAGTGGTCTAGCAACTGAGAGGGGCAGGAGCACCCTGTCATGAACCCATGTTGCCCAGAATTATGTAGACACTGTGATTCCATGTGTTTTGTGATCTTATTTCTAATCACTTTCAAAGATTTTTATGTGTGATGTTTGTTAATGTCTATAATTTTTTGCATCTGCTTTACTACCTCCTTATTGAAGTGGTATGATCTCTGCCAGTGAACCAATCATCTGTGGGAACTAAATGTGCCCTGTACTATTCAGGGGGTCCTTAAGATTCTATATGGACATTGACAGACACTAGAGACTTCTGGAAATCGTTTGCCATACAGGAAAAGATTCCGAAGCTTTAGTTTCCTTCTTGGTGCTTTAGTAAAAGATAAGCACCATGTTTGGGGCATCACCATCCACTCAATGATGCCCATACTAGGAACCATTGATACCATGTAAAATTCCAAGGACTTTTATGGACCTGGAACATGTTAATGATAAAAAATCAATTACAAATGGACAAGTTGAAAATATTTTCTCAGAATATGATGTCGGCATTTCTTCACCTCACTATGAGCCAAACCAAAGCTACATTATTAGAATTTTTGTCGTTGTATTTCCCCAAAGTGAAAATCAATGTTTTACGATATAGCAAGTCTTTTTTATGTACACTAGGAACTCATCCAAATTTAGGATGTACAGTTAAATGGTTAATATAAATTAAATCTATTATACAGTGGAACTTCGATTCAACGAACCTCGATTTGGTGACCTCTGGTTGAGAACACCTACTTTCCATGGCAGATTTACTCACCCAATTCAATAAACAAAAGTTTGCTGAAGCAGGGGATGTGTGGATTTGCTTAAGATGTTGGGACCAAGTTCACAGATTGAGGCAGCATTACTAGATATAGTTGGGGGACTTGGAAAAGCCATTGAGCATATTTAAAACCAAATTCTATGGATCTTTTTTAATTTCCAGTTGCAGAGGTTTTTGTTCAGCAAAAACAATTCTCAATTAAAATTTTGTTAAATTAACCCATAGAGTATGAGAAATGCATCCTGGAGGCATCTCCAGTTGCAACAAATCCCTCACTGCAATGAATTAGTGTTGGTCACATATAGTTGGTTGAATCAAAGTTGTACTGTACTGTACTGTACTTCTGGTGTATGTCCATCAGTCTTATGAATATTTATTTTGCCCGAGTCTGTTGTTATATTTTCTGAAATTTGTCTGTTTTTATATATTTCCTCTTTCACCATTATTCTAAAAATTTAATGCAAACAAACATTTATAAGTAAGTAAAGCCATTTTGATTCAAATTATTTGCAGATTAGTCATGTACATGTGTGTGAATGTATAGTATTTATGTAATTATTATGTATATATAAATAAATGAAAAATTGTATATAGTATAGTATATTGAATATGCTAAATAACAGGTAATTTTATATTTAACTATTTCATGATCATATATATATACAATCATTATGATTATTATCTAAGGGAAAATATAATAAATGCAGAAAATTAGGGCATTCCACTGGATGTTCTTGAAGTTTAAAGAGAAAAAGTATATTAAATGTGTTGATATAACCATATTTCCCATAAACAAATTGAGTGGTGTTACTTGATTATTAAAGAATAAAAAACACGGTACAATACAGTCCCCCTAAAAATTACTGTATTTCACACTGTACATAACTGCATATTTTTTGTTGTATATGAACTTTACTTTTCCATGTGTGTGGTGTGATGACTGTAATAGCTTCGGCACCCCTGTTGGGTGAAACTTTGACTTACAGAGCTTATGTTGAGTAGAATTGAGACAAGACTTGTGTACACGAATACACTTAGTCATTCAAAGTGCAATACTTGTTAAGCATATTTGTAAGTATGGCCGTCATTTCCATCCACACTTCGGTCCAAATCTAATTCACGTGATTTATATTATTGTAATAATATTCTACGTCTTTTCTTCCCCTTTATTTTCGTAAGGCTAGTCACCATCTGCTCATTACCTCTATCTTGTACCTTGAGCATTTATATATATTCTAGATTTTCTTTTGAAGCATTTGGTGTAACGAGACAGCATTTTAATGCATTTTTTTTATTTCTCTCTCAAACAATCCTTGCCCCATATAAACTTAGCTGGCCTGTAATTTCAAGTTTACTTTCTCAAAATACCAACTCAGAAATTATTCATCTACCCTCATCTCAATTTTTACTGCTATTGCTAGTGAAAGTAGTTTCAAGTTATACAAGTGTTTCTCATATTAAATTAGCAGAAGAACATGGTATTGCCTGAAATGCAGCACACAACTAGTGCCCTTATAAAATACAGTCTACAAATAGTCTAATTTGTAACCAATGTAATCAGATCCTCTGTATTTTTCATAAATTAAATATCATGTATTAAACATAGATGGACAGGAGTAATTTGTAATTAATTTTAACTATCAAAAATACTCGGTTCTTTCTAAGCTGATGCGTATCCATTCCATGGAAGTACGACACAGTAATTATGTTTATTTATACCTCAATTTATCCAGTTTCTATTTATTCCATCTACTTTTATTGTCATTGACTATTTTAACATGCTAGCTACTATTATTTTATTCTGATACATTTACATCAAACTACATAACTTTGTTTCTAGCTAAAGAAACAATACCTTTTCTACTTTCTTCAGAACTACACAAATTTGGGTAAAAATAAATAACTAGCATACTTCAGTTTAAATATATTAAGTTAGGTTTAACTAGATGACTGAATTAGTATTGGTGTGACTACAAAATTGTGCCAGCTTACTGTTGGTGATGGTCATGTACATGACAAATGTATATCCAAGTGTCTATGAATGGTTTGAAAATGTTCAAATGGTTAAAATTTAACAAAACTAATGCACCCCTTTTTGGGGAATAATTTGTATTTTGGTAATGCATGCACACAATCTACAAATATATAGGCCTATGTAAAATATATATATATATTTAAATAAGTCATGATATAAGGTAAAGTACTGTATATTGCAAATGGAAAAAGTTAAACCTTTCAGCACCATTCAGGAAAAACTGCTCTATCAGTAACTACTGGGATACTGCAAGAAAACTGTCCCATAGTTATACAATTTTATTGAACCAGGCCACCACAAGTGGAGGCTAGATAGTCATCTACCAACTAGAAACAAGAGCTAACTCATCTAAATGATGAACAAACTTGTTGCACAAATCACAAGATTCTTCTCCATCACTTTTTAAGCAACAATGAGAAATGTACACAAACTGGAAACAGTAATGTGACAGTGAACAAAATTTAAGGAATCCTCTTGTTCTGTAGTGCTCTTATGAGTATTATGACCCCCATTTATCAAAATTATTTGCAACTCAAGTGCATCTTGTGGGCCATCTTAGTTAACAGCTTTGGAAATCTATCTTATTTTCTGCACATTCTAAAATAATGCTCTTAATAACAAACGTTCGGTTTTAACAGCTGATATTTAAAAGGTTAATTTTCCTATTAGCAACATAAAATTAAAATTTCTAGTTTCAAAATATTTTAATTGGATTACATAAAGGAAGAAGAAAACATTAAGTCTTGGCATATATACAGCAATAATTTTACATTAGCATCATGCCTTAATTAAACATTCTTGTAATTTATTTTATCAAAAGCCAATCCAACAGAAAAGGAAAACTAAAACATCTCCACAAACCTAATACAAGAACACTAAATTATAATTAAATTTCAAGTTTAAACAGACCAAGTCACCTAAGTAGGTTCATAGAGGCATGATGCTTCACATTGCCAGGAAATGTTTAAAGGCTGCAGCTGTACGCGAGTACAGATTATTTTTTTCTTGGAGCAGACAATTGTCATACATGCAATTAGAATGGCTTGAAGTTTTACTTCTTGAGTGATTGGGAAAGGAAAGCAGAAAGAGAAAAGGGTATTGGAGGGATTTCAGAGTATCTCAAAGATAAAAAGGTATGCATGTATGCAGTTTGAAGGCACTTTGTAAGATATGCATGGAAGACAAAACTGTGAATAATTATTTACAAGAACAGTATTTGCTCAAATGCAAATGAAGCGTATCAACACTGTGCTCATGGCTCAGAAATAACTAAAACTACGAAGATTTAACTTGCACACTTACGACGAAAAATTCCACGATCATTTTAAACCAGGTCAGAGTGAAGATCACAGATGTCTATATTTGACTAGGAACCTTAAAAAATGAGAAGTCAGCTCATGCCCACAGTGGGTCTGACTAGAGTAAAATGCAAGTTTCTGCATATTTTCTGTCAAATATATCAGGATTTATCTGACTAAAATGTACTTATTACTAAAAATTTGTTAGGTTCAATGAAAGTGTTTAAAATACCCACTTCAAAATGTGACCTTTTAATTATCTGTTCACTGCTTTGAATGCATTTCATTTTTTCCTTTACATTACCCACAATGTATGACAAAGAGAACTTGAATGAATTTCAACTTGTTATCTAATGGTAATATATCTCTCAAATATTAAACTTTTTTGTAAAACAAAATAAACAGTCTTAACCAACACCAATTATAAAGCTGATACATTTACTTATAACTTTGGTTTCTTATATTAATAGAACTTAAATTAGAACAGTGCCCCAGCCAGATTGAGAGGAGTGAAACTGACATAAAACAGAGCTTACAAAGAGAAGTATCTAGTACTAAAACCATTCTTTACTACAATACCACCACCACCACCATACAAGTCTTTGACAGAAGACTGTAACAGCCCCAGCATCAGAAGTACCCGCAGCAGTAGTAGCACAAGGAGACTCAACTTGTCTTGAGGATTACTTCTTCTCACCTGTGATGCAGACAGTCGCACTAGTGGAGTCCATCCCAAGTAGATTGACAGCAGTGCAGGTGAACACTCCTTCATCCTCTGATAAAGTAACAAAAAAGAAAACAGGTGATATAAATAGGCAAACAGATTTAATTCATAATTTATTTCCAAATTCATAACATATTTGGCATGAAAATCTCTTATACTGAGAGAAGGGCTAGCAGGATGAACATGTTCACACAATTCTTTACTTACACAAAACGGTGATTCTAAAGATTTCAGTGCACTTACTGGACAAACAATAATATTCTGTGTTTAGTTCTAGACACAATTTTGTCACAATATCATTTAGGTATTGTCATAAAGGCAGACTATTACCTGGGAAGACCTGGGGAATGATGAGTCTACAAACACCGTTTCTGTAGATTATCTGGTAGTCTGGCCCATCCTGGAGGATGATGCCCCCTTTGGACCATGTCACCTGGACGGGCGGGTCCGCCTGCACCACGCACTCTAGACGCAGTGCCTCTCCCGCCACGATGGCCAGGTCGCGCAGTGGCTAAGGAATTAAATTATCATGATTATTAGGCCAGGCATTTTAACAACTGGGATTATTCCTCATATCCCTGGTACTGACAGCTGAAAATCAAGGCTCTTACTTGACTTTAAGGTCAGTAAGAGCCATATTCTTCAATAATATATATAATAATTTTACTACAGATTAATTAATATTAATTAACAAATTAATCAATTAATATTAATTTAATATTATATTAATAATAATATAATGAATAATTATAAATTCAAAAGAATGTGTGTACAAAGAACATAAGAGGAAGGACAGCAAGTAAATTTGTGAAGAAAACAGTCCGGATTAAGGTTGTCTGTACGATTATGTAAATCATTTAAAATAAATGTGTATGTGAAAGAATTGACCAAAATGCAGCGAAAGTACAAAATTTAATTAACAATGTGATGATGAAAAACTGCACTACTGCACAGTTACATTCTTAAATAGATATTTATCTTATAAATGGAATTGCTATTCTTATATGTGCAAGAATTTCCTGAATGTATTATGAGAGAATTAAAAGCAAAACCAAATGAAATCAATATAACAATTCCTAACACTGGTGCATTTAGCTGAGCAAAAGTGCCAGAGGTGGCACCTTATAGAATAAATTAAACCAATTTTAATGTTATGCCAGTAATTTAAATAAAGCTAGTACAATGAAATGGTAAAACATCACAACAGGCTAGATATGGTTCAATTGCATAATGTCTTTTTTAAGAAAGATATGGCTGGGTTGGCATATCTAAGGGATACAAACAGGGTAGAATAACGAGTAGGTGGGGGGGGGGGGGGAGTAATGATTACAGGGGAGTAAAATGAGTTCAAGTAGTGCAAGTACTACAAGCTGGATGTACCGGCACATGCTGACTGAGGCCGTGTGGATGATAGGAGGGCAGTAAAGAGTGGAGAAAGAGAAATGTAAGAAAAATAGGACTAGATATTGGTGTTTTTAAGGGTAGTGTTGGCTGGCTTCAGTTTGAAGAAAAAGCACTGAATTAGTGGGAGAAAGATCTCTAGTGAAAAGTAAAGTACTGATAGGGTTAATAGTGATAATATATCTACTGTAATTTCTTACAAGTAGACAAAGGTGATGAAATTGGTCTGGCTTGGTGTGGTTAGCCATCTGATACATTATATGAAGACCCTACATTGAATGTAAAGTTAGTAAAAATGTGTTTTGGCTTTGGTGTGTACAAATATGCAGGTTGTAAAGATAGTAATTGTATTGTAGGTGAAGGCTAAGATCATTAAACTATGCTAGCACATTATTCCTTTTACACTACACTACAAGCAATGCCTGTCTAGTTTCATGAGCATTTTTTTGCGAAGTAAGATACTGTAATTTCAAATTAAAAAAAAACTAAAGGCCAAAGAATGCAGCAAAGAATTGCATTGCTGCTTGATAATGCTCTTTCTCCTCAGTATGAAATCAGTGTATAGGAAAATAATGTGCATGGCTCTTCCACCGTATTGGAAAGCATAAATGAATACCTTATTGGTGGTGATGGGCGATAAGAACAACGAGAACACTAAGGAAAGAACATTGGACTAATATACAAAATATGCAGTCAGGTATTCTATATTAATTTTTACAGCTATGTTAAAGCTTGTAATGTACAGCAATAAACTTCGGTTTTAAGAAACTTGCATTTAGTTATGTGAAGAATAGACAACCGTTTTCTTTGCATTTTATCAAATGATTATGTTAACAACAGGAGACAGCTGCCAAGATCTGAAGGCTGTATACTGCTAATAAACAGCTTAGGAGCAAAGCTCATCAAACCAATTTAGGTTTAGTAATGAAAGAAAGGTAGGAAAATTAAAATGGAATGATAGCTTCCATATTAGCAGTGGCATTTTCATTAACTTGTTCACCACACTTCAATGTACAGTATCACAATGAGAATTAAAAGCAAAACCAAATGAAATCAATATAACAATTCCTAACACTGGTGCATTTAGCTGAGCAAAAGTGCCAGAGGTGGCTGAGAGGTTTAGAGTTTCAATGTGGAATAGCTAAGGATCAAGATACAGAAATGAGGCTATGATCAGAAAACAACAAAGGGAAGAGAAGGCATAATTATATGACAAGACATCAGAAAAGAGGAAATGGACAAGGATCTGTAGAGTCTGTGTACTGTGTGTTGATCTGGAATGAGTATATGCTGATGAAGAAACGTTTTCAGATTATTGGGAACAGAGTTAAAAGCTGCTTTTCCCTGACAATCAGAAGAAGAAGACTAAAGTCACCTCTTATTATGAACATTGAAATAATCCATAAAAATGAAGTCAGCATTAGGAGATGGCAAAGAATATCTGAATGAAAAGAGTGAAAGGAGTATTACTGTAGAGCAGACACAAACACTCTTTAAAACAGAAGGGGTAACAAGTTTTCCTTAGATACAGATATATGGTCAATGGAAGTAGAATCGGAGGTCTAAGTTTCAGGAACTGTAAGAGGATAGCAAATGTTCAACAGATGAAAGGTTAGAAGAAAGTTTAGGGATATTAATAGGCCCAATGTGTCATAATGTTCAATGGCTTCAAGGTCAACAAGCCACAATGCAGGACAGATAACAGATGCTTTTTAACCCATTGGGTAATAACCCATGAAACTGCTTACCCACCAAAACCATAAATGAAAAACTAGTATTGTACTAGTTCAAAATTCCTCTGGAAAAAAAGTCTTTAGGAATAACGGTGGGATCTTTAAAAAGCTACCAGCTTCCTGTCCTCATTTAGGTCACTAGATATGGTAGGCCTCAGGTAAATACATTATTACCTTAAAAAATCAATATACTGTAGTTATGTATATATAGACTACAAGCAATCAAGCTGGGTCTAACTATTTAATGCTAAACAGATTCTCTGTAACATCTTGGTAAAAACTTATCTAGGTAAAGGCCTAAGCAGAAGATAAACCAAATTAGCTCTACAGATACTGCATGTAGCAGCAATTTACTTACATATAAATCTGCACAATTCATTAAATCTTGCCTTTCTATTTTTAATGGTTATAACTACTCACCAATGAATGTGTTTCCAACTTTGTAAATACAGTACAATAACAAAATTTAACAAAAAATACAGTACAATTAACACAACAGTAAATTACTCTCAGTAAAAATTAGAGTAATATACTGCATTCTGATAACATACAAAACCATCATGGACTCCAGATATTAAGCATATCGGAACACAGTATCACATTTAAGTCTAATGATACTGCCGTTGATGACTTACCATTATGTAATAAGGTGGTCGTGTGGGCTGTGTTAGGGGACCAGAATGAGGTGTGGAAGGCGTGGAAGGGGGAGTAGCGCTGAGAGGGGATCCAAGTACTGTGGGAAGTGAGGTAGATGGTTAGGGTTAGTGAGGAGTGAGAGAGGAGTTGACCATCTAAAGTCACCACACACTTGCAAGCACTTCCGAGTCTTGTTTCTCAAATCCAAACTTAGGTTAAGGTAATATATTTGCTTTAAAATCATTAATAATAAATAAGTTGACAAAAGCATAAATCGTGAATTTAAATATGGACAAAACACACTCATTTAATACAAACAACAAATCAATAATAAAATAAAACTGGTATACAGTAATGTACTGGTACTGTATTAGGAAATATTGGAAGTAGGGGCATAATACATTAATACACCCTGCAACTTAATGCAACATACATGCATGCTTAGTAGCTTTGTAAGAATAGCCTAGTGCGTGTTGAAAATCATTGTACAGTATTGTAATTAATTTTTAAAACAAAAAATTAACTAAAAGTATAAGTTTTTAAATACTATGCAAAACTGCAATACAGTATACTTTATTATTTGCCAAATTGACACAATAACTTGCAGTCATGTAATATATGCCTAGTAGTCAATGTGAGGATGCAGGGAAGCCTAAGAGCATGCATTATCACTTGAAATAAAAAGTTAGTTCAATTGTTCAGCACACTAGCAGGATGTTGATAGGGAGAACACCGGTCGTGCAGGTAGGAGACAACCAGTACCTCCCAGTTCTGTTGTGTCGAGTGCATCCGTTGGGGACCCTTGAAAAGTAAGAGGCTTGGGCTGAACAGCTGCACCAGGGACCAGAGGTACAAACCTCTTTGGCCCCACATGACTACCAGGACTCGAATCGGCAATCTTGGATGGACTGGGGTGATCTGACTCTGCTTCACTGTCTGAATATGGGTCACCAGAGATGGGACGAAACTGGGCTTGCTTCTTTGGTACAAATTCAGGAACCATCTTGCCCATATACTGCTGATACTCACGGTCTGTTTCAGAGATGTCCGACTGCAGTGATGGTTGAGGAGAAATGTGATCTGTTTTGCGACCCTGGGTAGAACTGCCTTTCGGTGATGTAGAGTCTTCCGTTAATATGGTTTGTGAGTCTTGAGGGCCAGTGGTTTCCAAATAATGGACATGGCCATTAGTCTTAGAAACATCTTTTTGAGTTTTGATAGAAGAATCAGTTTTTTCATGAATGACAGGAATTTGGATGTCAGAACTATGATCTCCATTTACTTGCTTTGTTTTCTCCACCTTCTTTGCCTCTCCAGGAAGGATTACACCAAATTCATAGCCAAAGTCATATTTGAAGTAGATAAGACCTGTGTCTGGGTCAATATGTTTCGTGCCTAAAGGAAAAAAGGTGAAATGCATTGCTTTAAGCTGAAAACTACAGATGTGAAATGTTACCCACTGGTGTGATACAGTACTGTATTTATGAAGAGCATAAAAAATGCAGACATAACATGAAGAGTCCAATAATTCTAGATTATAAAATTGGATGCCTACTTTACCAGAAAAATAAATACCAGATACTTGTCATCATATATTCAACATGAATTATTTTGTTTTCCCTGGAATTGTCCACTTGATTTACAAGTACAGTATTGGCAAAGTGAGTAAGTAGCGTGTAAGTTTAATTAAATAATTTGGACCTGCATGAAGTGGCCAAAATTGGTAACAGTATTTGCACCTCACTAATAAACTGTGCATAATAAAATCTAGATTCAAGTATTAATAATGGATACAAAGAAAATACTTGAGCAGAGGAGACTTAAGGAAGGTTATTTATGCTCAATTGAAAGAAGACCGTGTAAGCCCTTCAGGTCAGTCTCATTTCTCAAGTGTTTCCTTTACATTTACATTTGGTCTAACAATACCATACATCTAGAGTGAAGAAGCAAACACAATAAATGTGTCAAAGGAAAAATGCATTCAATGTCTAATAATTTAAACATGAAATTGATATCATACTAGCAACCAGGTTGAAATACACAAGCAGCACACTATTAAGGAAAACTATCCTGCTGATATTAACCTTCCCAAACATATATAGACATTCAGCTTAGATGCCATGTTATTCCTACTGTGAAACGCCATTTTCTGGGTGAGCCTCGGAGGCTCCCTGAAGCTATCCGAACTAATATAGTGCTTTATTGATATGGGGTCATCAATCACACGAGTCCTTTGCCTATCGGGGACCTCGAGCCAGAACCTGACCCCCCCCCCCTCAGAAAGCTACCCAAAAAGATAAGTAAAAACAGGAACTTACCCAGGAGGCGGCAGTACCGTTGGTATCAAGATGAGGAAGAGAGAGATGGCCGTGAAGGAACTGGAACGTTCATGAGATACCTGGCTGCCAGGACCCTGTTCAACCTCCAAAACCCCCACACCCGAATGTTGACCCAAGACATGTCGCCAAAAACCGCCAAGAGAGCATCATACTACCTAACATCATGGGCACGAGGGTAGACCACAGGCTGGCAAGAATGAATGACACTGCAGACAACTGGAGACACATGAGCCCTGGAACAGGGAACCAGGGAAAGCGGATCAATCCAGAGAGCGTTCGTCACAGAACCAGTGGGTAGCAGGTAGTAGCATAAAGCACCACCGAACACAGCACATGATGCACCCCCGGCCTAACCAAGCATCCACAAACAACGGACCCCCCTTAGGAAGCCTGCTGTCCCATTCTTTGCCAGAAAAGGAAAAGGCTGGAAACGAACAAAATAACCAAGCGAACAGAACCCCTGGCGTCAAAGAAGAGCATGAAGCTCATCAACCTGACCCCCAGAGGCCAAAGCCAACAAAAACAAGGCCTTTTAAAAGCAATCACGGACCGAAGGGCCACTACAAAGCGAGGAGATGACAGGAAAGAACCCAGTCCAAAGACCAAGAAAGCTCAGGCGGCACATGAGCAGGCCAGAAGTGAAAAAACACTTGAGAAAACTTGCAGAACGGAGTGGAAGTGACATCCACCCTGAACGCAGCGGCTCCACCAACGCCGCACGATATGAAGTAACAGTAGTAGGCATGAGATGCCAATCCAGAAAAAGCCAAGAAAGAAGGGACAAAACAACCTGGTCCTAAATTGACGAAAACCGTCGAAGAGAAAGAAAATGACGTAAAGACCGCCAAGAAAACTTCATACTGTCATCGAGACGAAGACCGCAGGTGGGACACCATCAAAGAAGCCATCTGATCACCACACAAATGGCGACACACTAGATGCGTAGTGAGGAGCAGTAAGACGAACCAGCAAGGTACCTCACCATCCCAACCTGCTGAAAGAGGCAAAACCAGTGAGAAAAATGCTTGGGTTCGGACACCGAGCAAGCAACGCCTGAAACCAAGGCAGGCCCGACCACCATGGAGCCAGGAGAATCACTCTCCCCCTAAAAGATTCCAGCCAAGCCAGAACCTGGAGCAACAGCTGGATTGGGAAAAAGAGGTACAGGAACCTCCACCTCGACCAGTCCTACCAAAAAGCATCTACCGAGAGTCTCACAGTAGGGAAATGGCACCACGTACAATGGGAGATGCCGAGACCACGTTGACGCGAAGAGGTCCACCTCCGGAACGTCCAGCAAAGCCAGAGGAAGGAGGCACCACTGACCGTCCACTCCATGGAAAGATGAATGAAGTGAGACAGGTTGTCTGCCACAACGTTGGACACACACTGAATGTGAATAGTGTGAAGAGCCAAACCACAAAAACTTAGCAGAAGCACTACTCGAAGTAAGCCCCAAAGCCCCACAGACTGAAGAGACTCCCTCCTCCCCCTTGGTTGAGACAACGAACCACAGGGAAGCAGTCCAAAAGGAGCCAAATCACAGAGCTCCAAGGAAGCCAAATCCACTGCAGCGCCTGTCACACCACTGCAAACTTCCACACCGTGCTTTGAGCCCACCTTAAGGACAGTCACCAACACCCCTGGCCGGACTGGTAAGCACTGATAACAATGCCCCAACTGAGAGACGAGGCGTCCGTGAACACATCGAGTGAGGGAAGAAGAAGGCAACATGGCACTGAACCCCAAAAACCCGAAAAGGAAGCTGGCGACTCAGCAACCGGCTTAAGGATACTGGGCAATGAACCTAGCGATCATGAAAGCGGCAAAAGAGGCTGCTCCGAAGATACCAGAACAGGCTCCGAAGCCAAATCCTGCCTATCGGATAAACCGGTGGAGCAAAATTCAGGCTCCCGCCCAGTTGCTCAAGCAACCGCCGAGTAACCCCGAACCCCTTCTCAAAAACAGCCGAAAGTGGTACTGCAACCAAAGCAGAGCCAATGGAGGAAGAGAAACAGATGCAGTCCGAGAACCCATTAGGCCCAGCCACATCCGAACCCAGGACGGAACCAACTGGGACTTTTGCCAAGTTACCGGGAACCCTAACCCGGCAAGCTGGGAAAGAACCAGAACCCCAGTTAGCAGACTGGCAGGGAGCCCACACCAACCTGTCGTCAAGGCAGGCTGCCAGCCAGGAAGACACCGGAACCTCAGAATGCACGCGATCAGTGGAAGAGGAACCAAACTCCAACAAAACTGGATCCAACACAGAGATATAAACTGGGTCTCATATGAGGTACGCACCAAGAGTCTCCAGAACCTCTACAAGGGTAAGCCAAGAGGAAGAAAACCTCTCGAAAGACGAATCTGAGGAACCCAAGGGTACCCGGAAACGAACCTGAGAGAGGGGAGCCCTACCTACTGCATTTGCCGGCAGATAAGACGTACTGTACTATGTTTATTTAATTATTTTTCGGGGGGTGGGGTGGGGGTGGGGTGGGGGTGGGGGGGGGGGGTTTAGTTACCAGTAAGAACACTGGTTCATTAACGGAATGAAAAAGACCCAAAAATTGGGAAAGGGATGATAAAATTTCAACAGCCTGGGAGACATATGCAAGGAGTGGATGACAAACCACAACGGAGGGGAGGTGCGCCATGAGCGAGTGTGCTGCCCTGGCGGCCAGTCCCGGCAACTCAAAACATCACAACCTGAAATGTTTCACAACCTATATGGCAAAATTCTTGCCAAAAACATAAACAACGAAACTGCTGATCTGAGCGGGGGTGCCAAAACTAGATTAAAATAACGAGCAATCAAGTATGATGAAACACACGAAAATATATATATATATACTGTATATATATATAAAAATTTCCACAGTACAAAATGTCCAAGCAAAAGATGGATGCGTTCGACACAAGGGTGCATAAGTCACGCCGGTAAATACGATAATACAAATTCATCAAGGGAAGGAGGGGACAAAAACCCCTTTCTCTGCAGCAACAACCCCCACCCAAAGGGCATAAGGCCCCAAGCAGGGTCAAAAGGAGTGAAAAGCTCCAAGTGGACTCCCCGTGAGCCCCGGGAACCCACGACAAAGGCCTCAAGGCAGAGCTCTCATCAATGCCCACCACCCCTGAAGAAAACGCAGAGTTCAGGGGAAAGGCTTCCAGGTAGGGAGTATGCTGGATCGCCCCAGAAGCCCCAGTGGGAAAAGAGGCTTAACCACCACCGTGCCTGAATTGGAAGGTGCAGTCCCTGAAGCCACCCAAGCCTCATCCAGAGATAAATCCTGTCCTTACTTCGAAACCTTCAGACGTTTGGGAGCCGGAAGCAGGGGAGGAAGAAGCAGGGGGAGGAAGGAACAGGGTGAATCATACCCACTTTCGAAGGTAGCAGGGGCGCGGAAGGAACCAAGGTTGAAGTGGCCAACACCCCCAAATCCTGGTCCCTAAAACCCAAGTGAAGCAGCTCCAGGGCCTCCAACTGGGCAACCAACCTGGCTCGTTGCATTAAGGAGAATCGAGTATGCAACGCAGCTACCACTTGATCCTTGAGATCAACAGACAAGGAATGAGTAAATTGAAGTACAAGCGGCAAACAAATTCCACAAGACTCCGGGTCATAGGTGTCCCCAACCCAACACGTAGCATGACGGAGGCAGTACGGATGATTGTCTCCCTGAGATAGGGGCGACGAACAACCTTCGGAAGAAGTATCCATGGTACCACAGGGGTTTTCCAGAGCCTGTAAAGTGACTAAGCCCTATGAGAAGCCCAGGCACCTGGGCAGCTAAGCCAGAAGAACCCTGTCAGTTAGCAGGCAAACTGACCCCGAATAGCAGCTGTGAAACCTTCGGGGCAACAGAAGACGACCACCACACAACCAAGGTTAGCCTAATAAGAAGCTAGGCAGACCTCCTCCATCCACACAAGGCAAAAATTAACAGAAAAGAATAACCAAAACCCCCAAACACACACACCCCTAGCGAAGATAACCATGACACGTAATGACAGTACTTTCGGAGCACCTAGGGAAGGTCACCCTAGGCACATGCAGCACCTGTACTCTAAGACACCTGGCCACCACACCACACAAACAGTGGGAACAGTCACAGATGGCAAAAATCCAGAACAGGAACTCGAGGTCAGAGATGACCAATCCAACTGCTAGCACATCAGTTCAAGACCTGGGGTAGTGGGCTACCAGCTCCCTCTCCCCCTTGGACGTAGGTAGCACTAACGAGTGGGAGTGCTTGTTGCATGAAGTGTTGGTTGTTTGGTTTCTTTCTAGGGGAGTTATTTGGATCTTTTAGGATGTAGATTGCACAGGTTAACAAGACAGTGGTATGTTTTGATTTGACTACCTTTCTGGGTCCTTCCCTGGTCAACGGAAATTATGACCTACTACAAATGTTAAATGCTCACAGGCCATTGCTCCCAGCGCGTCTCGGAGAGGCGGTCAGGTTCTGGCTAATGGTCCCTGGTAGGCAAAAGACTCCTGTGACTGATGCCCCCAAACTAATAAAGCACTATATCAGTTCAGATAGCTTCAAGAGGCCAAATGGGCTCCCCAACAGAAACAGTATTTTTCCTTTTGGTAGGGTTAATTAGCACCCAGGAATCACAAAAATCAAAGTAAAAATGTCCACCTCTTATAGTTTAGCTGTAGTGGCCTGGAGAATTTGTGTTTTTTGCGTAAAACTTAGGAGAGTTGCCGCATGGGAATAACTTTGTTGATTTATTTTCAAGTTCTCATTTTATTTATTTAGTTTTTTCACTAACATGTTGTATCTGTGTCAGAGATGGTGTTCATTATGTATAACTTTTGAAATATACATGTATAAATATATAGGCAGTGGTTTAAAACAAAACTACTGTACTTTCTGTAACTAATCAGAGAAATATAAAAACTGATGGTACTCATATTTAGAAATTGCTGCAAGGAGCTGCTACAAATTCCCAGAACTATGAACTACATTACATTAGCTAAAGGCATAAATTAAAAACATCTAATTCAGTTGAGACATTGTGAATGTATCAACCTAAAAAAAAAAAATCTTGCAGGCTACAATAATCAAATTATTAGCCAAAAAAAATAGAGCTTCTGTATATATCCTTTGTACTAATGTTGAAATTTAATCAGTACTCACCAAATTCCGAGACCCTGGATTCATCTCTGTATGCCTGAGGTTCCTGAAGAGAAGGAGACAAAGCCTCATGAGCAGCTGTGGTAGATGAAGGCACTGCAGTGGAGTCTGGTGAGAGAGAATGGGTCCTCAACTCCTCAGGTAGTGATGGGGGTTCACCTGCTGGCTCAGCTGGCACTGAGCCCTCCCTGGCAGCAAATACCTCTGTCACTAACTGCTCAGCAAATTTTTGTGCTTTATGACGGAATGTCTGAGTCATGTCCTCAAACTGGTGACTTACTGTTTCTGAAAAAAAGATATACACATTCAACATAAATAAAGTTTTAAGTAAATGTGAAAATTGCCCTTTCGAGCAGATTTATAAGGTAACAATCTACTGTCTTAAGATCATGATAATGTAGCCTAGTCAAGTAGGTCAACATTCTTGCATTGGTGCCACAGGGAAATTCTGAAATGTCCTCACAGGGTCATTAACTCTTCAACTGAGCATATCAACCAGCATTGTTTCATTGGGGGTGTGCATGTCAACCAGGGTTGATTTTAGGTCTAGACCAAGATTAAAAATTCCTGCAGGTACACGGAGCTCGCATGTGTTTCCTCAGGTCTCCAATAAACAAGCGCCATCTTGGGGGGGAAAAAAATCATGGGCACCCCTCCTGGGTGTGAGGAGTGTGAGGGGACCTTAGGATTAATACAGCAACCATGGGTAGCACATGAAGAATGAGCTCACAGCACAGCCAAGCAGCTCGTGCCCACATCATCACTTAATGATGAAATGAACACTGTTTATTCCTTAACACTGTTAATGACCCTGCAGGAACTTCCTAACACTGTTAATGACCCTGTAGGGACTTCCTAACACTGTTAATGACCCTGCAGGGACTTCCTAGCACTGTTAATGACCCTGCACGGACTTCCCAAAAGTTCCTTGTGATGCTATTACCCATAAGTTGTCCTGTCAGAGTGTACATGATCATGGTCTTGTGATGGAGTGAATACTTACCTTAGGGGACTAATTGATAGTGATAGTTCAGAAAGTTCATTTAAGTATTTAAGACAAATTACTTGCACTTTATACTATAAATCTGTAGTATGTACAATAGGCTGGCCCAAAGAAAAAAAATTTCAAAGGCTACAGTCTCACCCCTTAGAACTTGTGGGGTATATTAAATATAATATATGCAAAGTTTCAGAAATATTCATACATATTTATTGGTGCCAACAGACAAGTAAATACAGTACACACAGAAATCACAATAGTGTGATGTATCAAATGAACAAATCCACAAGGGCCGTGACGAGGATTCGAACCTACGTCCGAGATCATCAAATGCACTAGCTCGAGTGCATGGGGGAGTTGTGTAAAACCCTGGTTTGTATCTCGGAGAGGTTGCAGGATCCAAGTAAGTTAGGTACAACTTCTGATTTCAACTCTTTTGACCATGTTGTAGCTCAGTCAATTAAGGCAGCGTCTGGGATGATCTTGGACGTAGGTTCAAATCCTCGTCACGGTCCTTGTGGATTTGTTTAAGTAAATACAGTATTTGACAATGCTATCCTATAATGTAAATTGATCATATTTTTAGGGTCATATTTTTTAGGGTCATATAGGTCATATTTTTAAGTGGTTTCTCCAAGATATGAGCATTTAGTAGTTCCCCTCGTGGATCGCTTGGGAATACTACTTGACCACATACAAGGTAGATTGGCGGCACCAATAAATGTCCGAATAAAACTGAAAATTGACACACAGTTTTTATAGCAAACCTCACAATTTCCAGGGGGAGGGTCAGATATTTGGTGAGTAGATATTTTTTGTCATCCCTATAAGCTTGGGCCAGTCTAATGTACAACTTTAAAAATGGAAAATAAAAAATGAACTAAATTTTATACATATTTCTTTAGCAAAACTTACTTTGAGCTGATTTAACATATCTTCTGTCAATGCTTTCTTTGGTATGTGATTCTGTTTCAGTCTCTGTGTCTGTTGTGATGGTGCCTTGAGGATGAACAGCAGCATCCTCCTCTAGATCAAAGGGCTTAAACTCCACCTTTGGGAACCTAGGGATAGAATACTCTTCTAAGGACTCTCTTCTTTCTCTTCTTGGTAGATCCGAGAGGTCCATAACTGGGCGAGGTGGTCCTTCAAAATGAGGTGGCTGGTCGAACTTGGATGGAGGTGAAGGGTCCCTGCCAGATGATTCACTTCGCTGTTTCCCTATCTCCCCAGCAGGAGGAGCAACGCGCCGATAAACATGCTCTTCCCCCTCACTGTCAGGAGGAACCCACTTAGGAGCAATTGGTGCTTCATAGTCACTCTCATAGTCACTACCTCTGAATTCTCCTTTCATGAATTTTTTTGGCTGAGGTGGTGGTGGACCTCGCTGCCGTTTAGGTCTATTAGGATCAGGTTCATAAGGAAATGGTACTAATTGAGGAAATGGTTTAGTTTGGCTATGTTCTGTATCAACTCTCTCATGATCTGATTCAGAAACAAAGTCATATATATCTGTAATATCAATATCAATCTGAAAGCCCTTTTTAGCTTCTATCTTTTTCTTTATCATTTTAATATGAACATCTTCCTTCTCTTCTATTTTGGGAGCTTTAGCTTGAATATAGCCAATTTCTGGTCGAGGCCCAGGTTCAGGTAGAGGAGGAGAAGGTATCTTGGATATATGTGGTTCCGGTTCCTTCGGTTTTAATGCAGGTGCCTTTGGTGTTATCTTTGAAATTTTTGATATAGGCTTCTCCTTTACTTTGGGTATGATAATTTCAGGTGATGGCTCTTTTACATCCACTTCAAGAATATCAAGAGGATCAATTGTTGGGCGCAAGGGTCCTCCTGATGCAGGAGGAACTTCAAACTTTGAAGGTGGTGTGGGAGTACGTTCCTTGCTCTTGGAAAAATGCCTTTCTGCGGGTGGGGGTGGTCTAACTGGTGTATATTCTGGGTCTTCTGCATCACTCTCGGGTGGTTTCCACTTGGGCCGAACTCTACTCTCATAATCACTATCATAGTCACTTTCTCTAAACTCTCCTTTAATAAACTTTTTAGGCTTTGGAGGTGGTGGTCCCCTATCCCGTTTGGGTTTGCCTTTATCTGGTTCAAATGGGAATGGTTCCAGATCCAGAAACTTTTCATTTTCTACAGTTTGTTCAAATTTCGCTGGTGGTTTAGGGTGTGCTGGAACCTGTTCAGATTCTGTGATAATGGTCTTTTTTGTTTCCTTCTTTTCTTTCCTTATTCGTAGCTCCTCTTCTAATTTCAAGTTTGTTATAGTCTTCTCTGTTCTTTCAGTTATCTTTGTGTAGGGCTTAATTTCGTATGTCTGAATTTCTTTCAGGGCAGGAGGTTTTATTCTTGACTGGAGATCTACTTTATCTACAACATACCGAGTTTCTTGCACAATTATACCTTCTTCTGGAGTAGGCCCTGGTGATGGGAGAGGAGGAGACAATGGCCTCTCCACAGGTTTCAAAATTTGTTTTGGCACTTTTACTGTGATTTTCTTTGGTGGTTCAATTTTCTTGGGTAGTTCTTTAGGGATGAAAACTTCAGGGCTGGGCTCCTTTAGAATAACTATTTCAGAAGGCTTAATAATTGGTCTCCATGGTCCTCCACTTTCCGGAGGAGTGTCAAAGATTGTAGGAGGAGTGGGTGTTCGCTCTCTGGCCTTTGAAGGTGTTCTGTCTGACCGAAGGCATGGTTTCACCTTGTTATAGCTTATATCATCTGCATCACTGTCAGTTGGCTGCCATTTTGGTTTGATGGGACCTTCATAATCACTTTCATAATCACTTTCAGTAAACTCACCTTTCTGAAACTTCTTAGGCTTAGGTGGTGGAGCACCTCTCTCTTTCTTTGCTTTCTCTGGCTCAGGGGCAAAAGGGAAAGGCTCCAGAGGTGGAAGAGGCTTTGGCTTAGGTTCCTCTCTCGGCAAAGGTCTTGCTTTTGACTCCTGAGTTTTTTCTGCTGTACTAACTGTTGTAGATGCTGAGCGTGCATCAGTAAACTTGATTACACGTGTAGTCTGTTGCATGGTTAAAAATCTCTGGTGATGTTTACTAGAATCTGCTATTTTTGTGATTTTGGTTGACTCTACACCAATGGCATTAGAAAATGGTGCTGTCTGGGGCCGTGGTGGCACATAATCTTCTATGGGTGGTGATCCGGGCTTCAAAACTGGTGATGGTGATCTTTTTCGAGGAGGCTCTCTTTTCTGTGGTTGCGATTTAAAAATTTTTGGTTCTTTTGGAACTATTGGTGGCGGTTCTGGTTTTCTTATTTTCTCAATTTTTTCTGGAATAATTATTTCTGGCGAAACCTCTCGCTCAGGTTCAGTTTCAGACTCAGGAAAATCAACTTTTGGCCTTGGTGGTCCTTCAAACTTTGGAGGTTCATCAAAGGCTGTAGGAGGGGTTGGTTCTCTTACATGAAGGCGAGTAATTTTTGGTGTACTAATTGGTGCTTTGATCCTTCCATAGCTTTGATCTTCAGCATCACTGTCTGATGGTTTCCATTTAGGTGGAATACGGCCCTCATAATCACTGTCATAGTCACTTTCGTGGAATTCGACCTTTATAAACTTGCTTGGTTGAGGTGGTGGGGCTCCTCTTGACTTCTTGGGCATATCAGGTTCAACTTTGAATGGAAAAGGTTTCAAATCAAGCTCTTCTCTCTCTCTCTCTTGCCGAGTGACAGCTTGTTTTACAAGTCCTGTAGATTTAAGAGGCTGAATTTCTGGGACCTTTGCAGATTTTTCAGGTTGCAACCTTATTTGCTTTGCTTTGGGCTCGGAAACTGGCTGAAAATTTAATAATTTTTCTTCTGTTTTAGACTTGTCCACAAACTTTTTAATTTCACTTGATTTTGTTGTTTCTTTAACATGCTTATCTATTTTGAATGTAGTGTCTGACTTTTTCATAGTTAAATCTTGAGACACAGTTTTTTTAGTTTCTTTTAATGGCTTGAAAGGTTTTGAAATTTGCTGTGCCTCAATTTTTGGTACCTCAGTTGCTTTTCTGTCCATTTTCTGTTCTACTTTAATTGTCTGTTTTTTGGATGGATGCGGAGAAACATCCATACTTGTGCTTTCAAACACCTCAACTTTTTTATCAGACATGAATTCTACATGTGTTTCACTCTTAATTTCAACCTTCTTTTGGGTTCTGCCTGTATCTGTTGCAACATCACTTTCATCCTTCATGGCATAATAAGTGTCTTCTGAGTAGGGGCTTGATGTTCCTGGCTTCCCTCTTGTCTCTTTCCTGAACTCCTCAAATCTGGGTTTCTTTTCTTGCTGTGGAGGTGGTGCCGGTTTTGGCTTTGTCGTCTTTGGGCCTTCACCACCCCGCTTTTCTTCGTGAACTTCCTCCGACCTGCTAGTAAACATCTGTAAAGAAAGTGACCCAAAACTGAAATATTGAAATATACATCACATACATTTGGCCTTTGGAATTTATGTAAAATGTCCAAAGTTTGATAATTTAAATTTTCAAACTTTAGTAGAATGAGTAATTGTTATTCACTTGGTCAGCACTTGCCCAAGGTCATTAAAACTAATTTAGTACAAAAAAATTTACCCAATCCAATTTCCAAGACTGTATCATAATCTGGGTAAGTTGTCAAGGCCATTCATAAGAAGAATCAACATTCACCTATACTGTACAACATATAAATTACTTGTGTGTCGTACTTACAGGAATGGAATCTGCAGATAGCATGACTCAGTTTAATGAAAACATATCTGAAGAGCAGCATAAATGGATAGGATGGAAAAGGGAAACGAAAGAAAGGTACCCCAAAGTGCTAAAGAAATCAAAGTAAAAACGAAAATGTAATGTGTGCACAGAATTTTTAGTGAATTAATTGGTTACCGCCAGAACTCATGACCGACGTGGAGAAAATCACACAATTTCACTGATGGAGTAAAACAAACTTACTTAAAATCTCAGGTTTTGCATCAATTGCAGTTTAGCAGGGAAATGACCATAGTTTTTTAACCTGTCCAGAAAGAAAATTTCATTAGAACAGAATAGTGGGGTGTAAGGCGCATTGTATGTCCAATATGCAGGTTCTAAGACATCGTGCAAAAGTGCATGCAAGCCATTATGAACAGGAAAACAGTTAAAGAAACAGAAGGCTACAAAGATTTGCCCCATGGTTAAACATTATTAGTGATATTGACATCTAACACAGCTATTGACGACTGAAGCTATACACTATTGCCGAAAGGCATCAAAAAGCACCGATAGACTATTGTTTACGAACCTGGGAAGATTTACTTTCTGACGACTTGAACGAACTGGAGAAGTGCGAGGTCTGGTCTACTGAAGAAGTTGGGGTGGAAGGGAAGGGAAAGGAGCCTGAGGGGAAGCTACTTTTATGAGGCAAGCCACCACTTGCAGGGATGCCAAAGCTAGAAGGAAATGGAGGTTCTACTTGTCCAAACTCAGAACTTGTGAAGCTTTTACTTTCAGTTTTCGAGAATGATGAAGACATAAAACTTTCACTTTTGGAAAATGAACTAAAGTTAGATGAGCTCGCAGACTGGCTGGTCTTAACATTGCGACGAGGGAGAGTTCCTTCAGTATCTGCAGTGTAACCACTTTCTTCTAATTCTTGAGCTGCCATTTGTGGATTATCTATCTTCTTTCTTGATTTTGGTGAAGAAGGCTTTGGTTTTGTGTTGTTTGAACTTGTAGATTTCTCTGCACCATCAGTTTCATTTGTAACCGGGATATATCTTACAGGAGCTTCAATTGGTTGGGATACTGGTGCAGTACTTGGTGCTGGAGTGGGTTTAACACCAATGGGTGACATTGGAGTTGGCTTTATCCCAATAGTAGATGGGACTGAAATGTGTGGGGATGCTATGACACCTTGTGGTACAGGAGCTGGGCCACTACCCTCAAACATTTTCTTCATACCCTTTACTCCTCTTTCTTTCTTTTCTGTAATTTGAACATACTTCTCTGAACTTAGATGCTGAATTTCAGTCTTAGTACTCATTTCAGAAGATGCTGATGAAACACCTTTAGTCATCTGTATTGCTGGTGGTTCCTTCAAAATGCTCGGTGTTGTAACTGTTTTCTGTAATGGTACAGGCGCCACTTTGGGGGCAACAGCTGGGGTTGGTTTAGTTGGAGTGATGGGAGTAATCTTGTGCGCTGGAGCCGGAGTCACAACAGGAGTTTTCTGCTGAATAAATCTTGGCATTTGTTTTACGGGTTTATTTTCTGGGGTTATCTGGGAAGCTAAAGATTTTGTCGATTGTATTATATGTTTACTGTGACTTATTATTGGCTTGGGAACAGGCGTACTCTCCCTTGAAGTTGGAATATCAGAATCTACATCTGAGAAACACAAACTTAATGGCATAAGCTTGACTTCAAAAGGTGGTGGAGGGCCAAATGATGTTGGCGGTGGTGGGGAAGGTTGCTTTGGTTTCTTAGTTCTCCCCTTCTTCATTTTAATATTCAGTGGTCTATAACCTGTTGCCTCACTATCACTCATATATAATCTGGAAAAACTTCCTGGTACTGATTCATAATCACTTTCGTACTCACTCTCTGTGAATGAACCAGGGACAAATTTTGTAGGCATAGGTGGTGCCTTTCCTCTAGGCTGCTTCTGCTTCTCTGCTTGTACTTCAAAGGGGAATGGTTCTAGTGGAGGAAGTTGTATAATTGGAGGCACAGCAGAACTCTCTCTGGAAGGAGCAGATGATTTTACAAAGACATCCCTCTTTGATTGAATATTTTGTTCTTGAACAGATGGTGGAACCGGTCTCTGCACAGAAGGTACAATTTTTTTGGGCCCTGCTGTTACAGGTCTCTCAGGCACTGCTTTTCCAGTATTCAATTTACTACCCTGTACAGTTGTCTCTTTCTTAACCTCTTTCTTTACTGAGGTCTTTGACATCTGTTGTGACATTTTAATCATTTCTTGTTTAGATGTCACTGAACTTGATTCATGAATTGTAGCAGATGTGGCTGTTTTCACTTGAGGAACTGTCTGAGGCCATGACATTCTTTTTTCTTGAAGTGTGATATTGCTTGACCAATATATTGCAGGTGGGGCTTCGTGTGGCCTTGCAGGAAGCGTTGTCGACTCTGATACACGAGGTCGTTCTGCAGATTGAGAACGTGTTTTCAGTGTGGAAACAGCATTTGAAGTTACATCATGAGAACTCGAAGTCCAAGCAGAAACCTTTTTACTAACCCATGTGGGCCTTGAAACAGACTGAGATGGGGGCTCAGGTTTCTTAACAGGTTTGATAGTGGGTTTAGTTATAGGTTTCTTCTCATGTATGGCTGCTGATTTGGGTGCAGCTTTTATTACTGGGGTTGGTTTTTCTTCAGATAAAACTGATTTTGATTTTGAATCTGCTAATATTTGTGGAGGGGGCAAGTCAAATGGTGGTGGTGGCGCAGGAGATGACTTTATTTTGGAACTCTTTGGCATGGGTGCTCTTACCGATCTGAAACCAGACGCAGGAGCAAAATCAACTGAAGGTTCGAGAGGTGATACAAGGAATGGTTCTGGTTCTGTAACATATTCAGCAGCAGGTTCTGGTTGAAGAGCATAATCTGGTGCAGGCTCTGGTTGAAGAACATAATCTGGTGCAGGCTCTGGTTGAAGAACATAATCTGGTGCAGGCTCTGGTTGAAGAACATAATCTGGTGCAGGCTCTGGTTGAAGAACATAATCTGGTGCAGGCTCTGGTTGAAGAACATAATCTGGTGCAGGCTCTGGTTGAAGAACATAATCTGGTGCAGGCGCTGGTTGAAGAACATAATCTGGTGCAGGCTCTGGTTGAAGAACATAATCTGGTGCAGGCTCTGGTTGAAGAACATAATCTGGTGCAGGCGCTGGTTGAAGAACATAATCTGGTGCAGGCTCTGGTTGAAGAACATAATCTGGTGCAGGCTCTGGTTGAAGAACATATTCTGGTGCAGGCTCTGGCTGAAGAACATAATCTGGTGCAGGCTTTGATTGAGGAATGTAGCTAGGTGTAGGTTCTGATTTATGGACATAAACAGGTGCAGGTTTAGGGGCTACAACAGGAATAATAGTTTGTTCTGAATGTTTTAAAATTTGTGATTCTTTTGTTTCATAACTCACAGAAGTTGTATGAGTCTTGGTTTCAGAGAAAGAAGACACTGAGGATGACTGTTTCTGAGTAACAAACTCTCTATCAGTGTGTACTGACTGCATTGATTGTGTGTCTGGTTGTGGAGGCCAGGACTTAACCAACTTCCCTGGTGCTCTCACATGTTCCAAATCAATATCTGTCAACTCCGGTATTTTTGGAGAAGACTTCACATGTTCTATTAGCTGAGGTTGTGCAATTTTATCAGACACTTCTGTTGTTGTTGGGGGTATTGTATCCTTCTTTGTAGGCTTCTTTGGAACAGGCTTTACTATCTCTTGTTCAGCACTTTTACCTGCAGAGGCCAAAAACTTTTCCACAATTTTGGTCTTTTTCTTCGGTGTAATAGATTTTGGTTCTTTTTTAGCTACTTCCTCCTTTTTCAGGATTTCGGGTCTCATACCACCTTCAAAAATTGGTGGAGTGTCAAAAGCTGACGGAGGAAGAACATCTTGTCCAGTGGAAGCTGGACGTGATGATGGTTCTTGCACTTCAAATTTTATTTTCTTAAGTTGAATTCTATGCTCAGTTTCCATATCGCTCTCATACTCACTATCAGTAAAGGAACCAGGAATAAATTTCCGTGGCACAGGAGGAGGTAAACTACGCGGTCGTTCTTTCCTTGGCTTTTCTTCCACAGTGAAGGGGAAAGGTTCAAGTTCAGGGAATTTTTCAGATTTAATGTCTCCAAATATTTTATCCTCAGTCTCTCGAGTTGGGGTAGGCACATCACGAACTGGAGTGGAAGGTTGCTTAGGACTTGGAAACATTCTAATACCACCTGGTACCTCATCTGGGGACATTGGAACAATTGTTTCTTCCAGCCGTTTTGCAAGTTGAATAACAGACTCGCGTTTCTTTTTTGGTTTCTTCTGTTCTTTTACCTCATCACGCTCTGGAGGTTTTGGAGGCTTAACAGGTTCTTCATTACTTGCTTGCTCAGGGTGTTTAGAATCTGGCATTACAAGTGGTTGAAGAGGTTGACGCTCTAGTTTTCTAGTCTCTTGCATAGTTAGCCCTACTGTTTCTGGTGGGAGTACAGGGGAGAACATTTTTGTCTGTACATTTGACGAAGCGACAAACATTGTTTTCATTTCTCTGCTTATAGAAGACGACGACATCTGAGATATCATGTTTGAATTGAATTCCTCACGTTCTGGACTTGGCTCATTTGGCACTGGTTGAGGAGAAGGAATGAATTCAATAACTTGCTCACTTTCTGGGACAAAATACTGCAGCAAAGCATCTTCTGTAGAAGATTCTAGATCTCTTGGTTCTGTGTCAGATGCATGTGGGGGCAAAGGTTCCACACTAGATTCAGGAATAATATATTCAGGTACAGCACAAATCTTGACTGTTTGTTTGGGTTCAATTGGCTGCAGAATAATATCTTCAACACTTGTAACATGGTTGATAGAATCAACAACCTGCTCAGGTGGAGGACTTGTTACTCCAGTTGTGAATACTTTGGTCTCAACTGTTGAAAAACTGCTTTTAGATAAAGATCTTTTTGATTCATAAAAACTGGTTTCTATTATACTTGACTCTGTTTTAACCTCTCTTTCTGTTTTAGGTTCATAATCAGAGGGAATATGTTCTTCAGTAATTTGTTCTACAACTGGAACAGGCGTTGGGATTCTGGGTGGCTCTGGTGTTGGGATTCTTGGTGGCTCTGGTGTCGGGACTTTGGGTGGCTCTGGCGTTGGGATTCTTGGTGGCTCTGGTGTTGGGATTCTTGGTGGCTCTGGTGTTGGGATTCTGGGTGGCTCTGGTGTTGGGATTCTTGGTGGCTCTGGCGTTGGGATTCTTGGTGGCTCTGGCGTTGGGATTCTTGGTGGCTCTGGCGTTGGGATTCTTGGTGGCTCTGGCGTTGGGATTCTTGGTGGCTCTGGTGTCGGGATTTTGGGTGGCTCTGGCGTTGGGATTCTGGGTGGCTCTGGCGTTGGGATTCTTGGTGGCTCTGGCGTTGGGATTCTTGGTGGCTCTGGTGTCGGGATTTTGGGTGGCTCTGGCGTCGGGATTCTGGGTGGCTCTGGCGTCGGGACTCTGGGTGGCTCTGGCGTCGGGACTCTGGGTGGCTCTGGCGTCGGGACCCTGGGTGGCTCTGGCGTCGGGACCCTGGGTGGCTCTGGCGTCGGGACCCTGGGTGGCTCTGGCGTCGGGACTCTGGGTGGCTCTGGCGTTGGGACAGGTTCAGGTACAACCTCGGGAACGGGAGATAAAATCTTGTACGTCTCCGAGATAGGAGCAGATACTCTCTTGTATTCTTGCCTTAGCTGAGCTCCAGACTCAAAGCGTTCAATTATTTTCACATCTTTTACCTTATATGATTCATAAGGAGAAAGAGATTCAAAGTGTTGCTCAGGCAATGGTGCAACATGTGCAGGCTCAGGCTCAAGTGCAATGTGTGTAGGTTCAGGCTCAAATGCAACATATGCAGGCTCAGGTTCAGGCTCAAGTACAACATGTGTAGGCTTAGGAAATGGGGCAACATGATACTCAGGTTCTGGTTCAGGTACCAGCACTGGCTCTAATGATGGGACAATGCATGTATCTGGTTGGCTTACAGGGGCAGTTTCTTGTCCTAACTCTGGCTCTTCTACCACCATGGGTTCTGAGACTGGTATATAGCCATATTCTGGTGCTGGTTCTGGCTGAAGCTCAATATATGGCTCCTCAGGAAGCCTGGGAGGGGGTTTAGGTTTTGAGGGTTGCTTTGGAGGGATTGTATAGGATTGCACTTCACTTGAGGCTGAAAATGATGAAATAATGGAAGACACATTATGAGACATTATCTCTACACTTGTGTCAATTTTTGGGATGCGATCTGCTTCATCATCAGAAGGTGGTGGTGGCCATGCCTTTTTCAGTTTCCCAGGAGCTCGCTTAATCTCCAGTTCCTCTTCACTCATTGGCTCGGGAGGGGTTTGTGGAATGCTGGGAGGAGATGGTTGGACCTGTGTGGTAGTGGGTGATTCAAAATAAGGCTTAGGATGAGGAGCCTTAAGGATCTTTAATGGAGAAGTGGAAGCTGGCGCTTCTACTGCAACTTCCTCTATAGCTCGTTTTATAGTTTTCACATGCCCTTCTTCAACAGATTCGATATTCCGCTGTACAGCAAGAAGATGAGAAAGGAGAGATAACAGTTGTTCCTCCACCATAAGTGAAATAAGAAACATAAAATATGTACAAAAATGTATGAGTATAATTATGTTTGGAACTTCCAAACAACTTAATAAAGCAAAACCCTTTGTAGCTGTGAGAATATGTGCAATTTGAAAAATAAAATTGTGAGAATGATATTAAACTAAGTATTAATGTGCATTTTATCTACAAGTGCAATATAAAAAGGATGGAAACCCAAAGACTAGGAGCTTATTCTGGAGTTATCACTTTTATACACTAAAATGTATACATACAAATTCACATATAAGTGTACTTAGATCAACAAATATATAAATTTCAATTCACATTCAAACCATTTCCCAAATGAATTGGCATAACTTTTAAGATTACTTGTATCACTTTCCTATTATATGCAGTAATAAATTTATATATATTTTCTTTTAATATATTCTCTTGCAGACACACTAATACTACAGCAACTAAACATAATAGAGTAGCATATTTTATTTTATTTTATTTTATTTATGCATATACAAGAATGTACATAAGGAATGTGAGGATACAAATATGGTAATTACAGTCTTGTAAAGCCACTAGCACGTGCAGCGTTTCGGGCAGTTCTATCCTATTTCTATTTCGGGCATATATCTATTCTAAATCTATCTATTCTATAAATCTATTCTATTTTGGGCATATATTCTTTAGCTCTAGTTCTCCATATCATTCTATGATCTCTTATACAAGCATGACAAAATCTGCAATTAACTACTGTACATACTCTATAATAAATTCAACCAAAACTGTTAGAGATAGTCGAGAGTATACAGTACATCAGTGAGGCCCTACTGGATGTGTATGCCAATGTGACCCCTATTGTGCCTAGATGCTAATATGACTATTGCACATGGAATTTGATATGACAATATTGTGCAAAAGTGCCAATATAACCTTATTACACATAATTAAGCAGTCTCTGTGGTGCAGTGGTAAAGCACTCGCTTGGTGCTTTGCGAGCGCATTGGCCTGGGTTCGTATCCTGGCCAGGGAGGACTGACTGGGCGCCAATCCTTAACTGTAGCCTCTGTTGACCCAGCAGTGAATGGGTACCTGGTTGGTAAATGATTTGGCAGAACGTATTCCAGGGAACAATTAGGATTAAGGACTGCCAGAAATGCTACGCGTGCTAGTGGCTTTACAAAAATGTAAGAACTCTTGTATATATAAATAAAAAATAAACAAATAATAATAATAATAATAATAATAATAAAGTTCATTCAGGTAAAAGTACATACTGTACATACAAAATGAGTTTCAAACCGAATGTTGGATTTCTAGATAGAGCTAGTACATACTATGTCTAAAGCCACTGGTACGCACAGCTTTTTGGGCAAGATGTGGAAAACACTTAAAAAAAAGACAAACTAATTGAGATCAAAAGAATGAATTGGACTGAAAAAGGAAAAAATAAAAAAGAATGACAATAGTTATATGTCAGATGGAACAGCAGAAATTGCAACAGCTCAGCAGGATAATTTTAACTAAATAAATAGACTACAATTTTGTTTATACATGTTTTTGTACAAGTTTATACCTGGAAGATATCAGCAGTTATACAAGTTGTTAATAATCAGTATTGTTTGAAAATAGCTAAAATAGGGACTGTTATGATCACCTTCACTAAGAAAGCATTCATAAAATAAGTGAAACACTATAGGTAACTACAAGGTTCAAAGAAATTGAAGAACTTTACAACTAAATGGCTCCACATATAAGTCATTCAGAAAATAAGTCGAACCCCTTAGTTATGGCCAGCTATCAACAGGTGGCAACAACACTGGGAGCTCCTAGTTTCCACACCATCTTGGCCTCAGTCCAGAGCTGAAAAACCACGAACCAACACACCTGGTTGGAGAGGGAAGGAGGGAATTTGAGTCACTAAGGCCCTACCAGAAAGAGGCATTTCATTACAGGCCCCCAACTCCTCCTCATAGAAGAATTGAAGAGTCTTGCACTATCCAAGACAAGGCACCCTACATATTAGTATGGCCTCCCAGGGGTAAATTACCAAATCCACTAGAGATGTCACTGTTAGGGCAGAAAGAATGCTAAAACAAGCGCTTCAGGAAAGGGTGCCATAAACACGTGCAGCTCATGGCGAAGAAATGACTAGGTCCACGCAACATGTGAAGCTTAAAACACATGCTCTTGTAGAAAATGTCAAAATTGGGAACAATATAAAAAGCAAATGGCCCCTCCCCACAGGATAGTCGAAAGGAAGGCCCACACCTAGGAAAAAACTGGGACCTGCCAAAGCCAGCGACTCGGGGAGGTCTGCATTCATAGAAATCAGCAACAGGACTGAGGCAAAGATGGTGTGGAAGCTACGAGCTTCCAATGGTCTTGCTGCCTGTTGATGGCCAGTCATAACTAGAAGGAGTTTGATCAAATTTCCGAGTGAATTGTTTGTGGGGTCATTTGGCTATTCATTGCTTTGTTTTCCTTGAATATTGCAGTTGCCTGTATTGTTCTACTTTCTTCTGGATGTTTTCTCAGTGAGGGTTATCATAACAATTCCTACTCCCTGTGTCTATGCGGGGCTAGGTTTAGGCTCTGGTTCCCAATAGGCTATAAAAGACCCCTAAAGCTGATGCGACTCGACAGGGAGGAAGTATCTCGGCAAACTAGCTTCTGGAAGCCACTGGTCAGCCCCCTTCATAAAAATGGAGCCTGAGTATCTAAGCATGAGGGATCAACAACCAATACTGCAAACACAGGGGTGATGAAATGGCCAAAGGTATCCTGTTCACAGCAATAAACATCAACCTCCCTGAACAAGATTCTAAAACCCATGAAGTTATATACTCTACTTAAGGAAGTAAGCCACTGTTGTGCATCACTAGCACTAAACTGAAAAAAACAGGCCGATAAAATATCAGGGACACATAATGACTTGTAATATTGTATACAAATGCAAACTAAATTTTACAAAATAAAAAACCTCAAACAACTGAATTTTGGTCCCCACCTGCTAAGTGACATGATACACAGTCCGGGGCCTATGAATCAGTCCAGGTCAGGAATCCTTGATGTGTGCATGGTGCTACCACTGGATGCTGTTTAACTGTAGCCCTCAAGTAAAACTAACAGTGACTACGATAGATTGAGGTTTAACCTTTCGTATTCTGCATACAGCTATGATGTTGTTCCTAGTGTGTTTTATTTCAGTTTTCTTGATGTTAAAGCTCTTTGTCACATATAATCTTAACATTGTGAAAAGCATTAGCTTCCACAACTAGGTGGCCTGAAAGTTAAACTAGTTTCTGAGAGCACTCATTTGGCAGTCACTAGGAATGGCAAGGGAGGGATCTGAAGGAATTCAAATTTGTACTTGAATGTACCTTGATTGGGCATTCTGGGCTGGATTTTATTTTTCTCATGATTCCCTAGCACCTTTAATGACCCTGAAGAGACTATACATAAACCTTCCCAGTGATGCCAGTGGCAGCATGCCGTCCTGCTTGACTGTATATGATCCTGATCATATGACAACACATCCTACCATAGGAAGGAACCAAATACTGTATAACAACTTGGAAAGACATTCTATACAATAGTCTCTCTCTCTCTCTCTCTGATAGAACAGTGCATACATAGAAAACTGTTGATAAAGAGCCTCTATCTTTACACATTCTTATAAAAACACAATACAGTATTGAAAATAAATTCATTGTCAGCTATTGGATATGTTCTAAGGAGATGGTACAAACATCAAGAAATATTTGTTTAATGCTATAGATAACACTGTGTGACAATCGACACTATAAAATTTTGCTGGATTAAAAGACTAGTTGCCTGATATTGTATTACAAACTTTGATGCTTTAGTAGATAACAATGAAGCTCCTAAACCTATAAAATTTCAACAACTAAACTAGTAATCACACAAAATGGCCAGCATCACAATATTCCAGTAGTTTCAAACTCTTATACATGATAATAACTGCAATCGTATGCCATCATTGCTTATTCCATAAATAAGCATCTTGTATTATTTTGTATTATTTAATGCTTTTTCCATAAATAATCACTAAAATGGCTGATTTTTTAAGCTTACAAATGTAGAAATACATTGTCTGTCACTGTGAGTAATAGCATTAGTATTACAAAAAATGCTCAAACCCTGCAGAAAATTGCCTCTTATAATAAAGAAACTGCAGATCACAAACTTGTATGTCATCTCCCATTTTTATATTCTTATTGCCAATACAATCTTGGAAACCAAATGTTAAAGATTATGAAAATGCAAGATTAATCAAGGCCATCTTACTAACTGGGTTAGAAAACTCTGGCTTGCTAGTAAAGAGTGTACCAAGAGGATCATCAATTTCCAGCATCTCATAATAGCAGTTTAAAGTGTAATTAAAATTGTAAATAAAGCATTCTAAGTAATAAACACATTAACACATCACTAACACTACTTCTTATCTTGTGCAGTTGGCAACAGGCAAGATTATAATGGAACAATGTTTTTGCATGCCACACCGATTCACGCATTTCCTAACGCCTGTAAATCTGACTCTTCTGCTATCATGCCTATGACTATTTCTTGTATTCATTATCACCTGCAGCGATTGTTCATCCATGTGTCTAATATTATTTATAAAATATATTACTTCATCCATATATCTTGTTTACAAAGCATTTTCTTTTGAAATATAGTAATGATGACTACATTAACCACAACATTTTCAGTCATAGTTCTTTATATAAATACTGGATATGATGTGATTTACAAAACATCTTCTCAGCCCCATACTTCCTGTACTGTGCTTCAAGCACTCCTCCACTTTCACAATTCTGTCCAACAAGTTTCATCAGAAGTCTATTCAATATTTACAATGATAAATCAATGGGAGGTTAGAATAATTGTCTTTTATACTTATCATGAAACATTAACTGTCCCTCATCCTTTGCCATCATTTTACTTTCATGTCATCTGTTTTTGCTTTCAAGAATTTATATGATATATGCAAAGCAGTGGATGTGTGTGTGTGTGTGTGTGCCTGATTATCACTTTTCTCACACACATTGTGAAACCATTCATTAGTTATTTTCAATATTACATCTTCCTGGGCTGACCCTCAGCAGCTTCCCAGTGCATTGTTTCAGTATCCCAGAGAAGACCACAAAACGACTAAGTTTCTGGACTTGCTCTGGCCTACAGATCACCAGGACCGGAATCTGGTGTACTCATAGAGATGAGGGAAACATGCAGATCTGAGATCAACCTCATACATGAGTAAAACTACCCAGAAATTACAGATGGAAACAATTTTTTTCTTGATTTAAGAGTGAAGACATAAACAAAGGTAATAATAATTTGCCTCGTGCCAATAAACCATATGCTAGTATGCAAGCAAACCACCAAATGGCAGCTCAGGTCATCCAAGGGGTCAATCTACCTGCCTGCCTCATTCACGTGCTTGATACCAACAGCTAAACATCTACTCTGCATGAATTGACATTGTTTTGAGCCAAGTGGGGGTTAGCATATTGTGGGAAATTTCTATTGTCTCTTTCCGAATGGTTCTGCAGTGATGCTCGTGCGAAGACCCCCACTCCATTGGAGTTGACAGGTCACGGTGATCCAGGCTGGATTTGTGCTTAGACTCTGGGGAAGCAGAGCTTGCATAGGAAAATGACTGAATGACCAGCTCAGAGAAGTGTATTTCGTTATATAGTATTCATTCCCCGGCTTGGCGCCTTCTTTTGATAATTACTTACTATACTGTACTCGATACTTTATGGAGTATTTATATCTTCTGGTCTTGATTTTTCAAGTAATCCATATTGTCTTTAATTGTATTGAAATTCAAAGGCATTCTTTGTTACCTTTTATCTTGATTGTTTAGCAAATCACATTTAACTCGTTTTCTCTTATAAGAATGAATTATGCAAGTTATCTACACATTAAGAATTTGTAACAAATGTCTACACCAAGAATTTTTCGTGGTTCGTGATACATCAAATTTGTATATACTGTATTATACCTTCATTCATTTTATTTCCAGTATTATGTGAATTTATTTGTAACATTTATGCTTTTTGTGTAATAATTCCAGAATTTATTCATACAGCTTGCACTATGTGAGAAAGTTATGCATTGAGTGAAGTGAGTAAAAGATTATCCATCACCATACTGTATGTACATTGACTGTAGTCTTATAGTTAAACCAGGCAGTACATGGCAAGACTTGCAATGAGTACTGTTCATTATGTTCCTCAAAAGTAACTTAATAAAAACTCAAAAGGGGAAAGGGGGGACAATACCTCCCAACTGTCTTGCACACATGATGGAGCTTTGGAAGCAAAGACAATACAAAAATTAAAAAGGTTTTGCTTACATAGAACTGCATCAGTGGCAGCAAAATTGACTGAGGATTTACACTCAAAACTATAATAGATACTGTCCAATGCTCATTGTCTAAATCGCTGCCATGTCCATACCAAATTGTCAATACTTTGAGATAAGTATGAAGTAAATTTGTTAAACACCATGACCAGTCACATACCTTAGCTTCATCAGTTACATCTGTGAACAGCATTCTGTGTGTGGGAGGAGCCTTATCAAGAATTAGCTGAGTTACCATGACATCAGCCAAAGACTCGGCACGACCAGCGGGATTGGATGCAATAACACCATACCTTCCAGAATCTCCTGGCTCGGCTGCAAATTTTAAAATACAGTAAATTTAACAATTTTAGTAACTATATAAAAAATAATGTTACTACAATAATTACTACTATATAACTAAAAAAAGTGGGCAAGTAATATGAATTCCTTACAACGATGAATATGAATTCCACTGATACAATTTCCCATTGATGGGGAAAGAAAGCCTTTTAAGCTTAATAAGGTTCCTGTAGTCAGTAACTGGCCATTCTACTCTAAGATGTATACAAAGGCAACCAAGTAACCCCCTGGTACCTATTTACTGCTGACTAAACAGAGGCTTCATATGTAAGGAAATGTGCTCAAACATCTTGCCCTGCCTGGGAACCAAACCCAGGACCAATCAGCTGAAATTTAATAGCAGTATGATAGCAGCGTGCTATTGCCCATAACTTGAAAAGACCACTGTGAATACTAATTTTTTCATGAGTTATGAATATTTCAATTTAGTGTGCTTATGCCAGCATTTTACAACACAATACCAGTACAGTACAGTACTGATTGCAATCCAGGTTTGAATCAGATATAGTAAGTACTGTATTCACCAAGTTGTATTCACCACAACTACATGAATACAATTAGGTGAATACAGTACTGTACTATAATATACCTGATTCAAACCTGGATTGCAATGTACATAGAATTTTAAGAAACTTTTGATAAACTACTACATGACAGATTGGCTCCGAAATTACAAGCACAGTGAATCATTAAATATTATCTGAATGGATAAAACAATAGTTAAATTAGATAAAGCAGAGAGCTGTCCAAAATGAAATGAGCAGAGTGTAGTAAGGAACCATTTTAGGCCCAACTTATTTTGCATTACAGTACTACATTCAAGTATGTATACTTCAATAACACTGATGATAATAATATCCCAAACTACATCATCAAATTTATTGATAATACAAAGATTTACAGAAAATGGGAAGTGGATATGATATTGCAGTCTTGCAAAATTTTCTGCAAGGAAAATTACCATTTTGACAAATGGTCAAAAAATTGGCAAATGCTCTTTAATACTAAATACTTGAACTAACATGTAGGATATAACAGTTCACGTTGTAATTAATGTACTGACGGCATGGCATTGCAATGGATTGAAACAGAGAAGGCTGTTGCTGTAATAATCCACCAGCCATTAAAAGCTTCTCAGAAAGTTAAAAAAAAATCTAAGAATAATACAAAACCTTTGACTCAAAAGACAGTTAAGAGATTATACAACTGCACAAATTATTTTGTCTTCCTTACATAAACTACTGTGGAAACCATGAAAACTTCATGTATAAAACACATTATTTATATGGAAAAAGTTTATCAATGATTAAAATGTTTCCTGAATGAAGTCAATTTTCATACCAAGAAAGGTATGAGGATATAGAAGGACTGGTTCCAAATCTGCATACAGAAATCACTCCACATGAGACCAGAAGGCATGGCAGCATGTGCAAAATAGCCCTACTGAAAAGTAGAAGGCCCGAGAGTTTTTAACACTTTACCTACACATACTGGGCATAGCAAGCCGACCTCTCGCAGTGTTAAAATAAAAGAAGATGACAATCACCTTCAGAGGATACTTGATCAATCAGGCTGTGAGCAGCCACATCAAGCAGCCTGGAAGATCAAACCAGCAACCATGAGACCTGGTCAGAGACTGGGCCATGGAGAAATTGATCCCAGAACCTTTAACAACAGTTTCAAGCTCAACACACCTTAATTTAAGACAGATCACAGGAGATGCGCTTCACTTACCGGGTAATAAATTCAAGGGACCACCTACCTGCCAAAGCTGTATAGACCAAGATATTGCTGCAGTTCATAATACTGTACAGCTTGAAAACTATTGTAAAGAATGGAAATCTTCCACAAGCCACAGATTTCTAATTTACATGTTTATATCCTGTATTATATTATATCCACAGCCTCTGAACATGGTGGACATTAGGCAAATCACATAAACAAAATTATAATAAATTACAAAAGAAAAAAATAACAGAATATTTACCTTGTTGAATTATTAGCAAGTGCCTAGTACCCTCTGATTTCAAAGCAATATGTTCATTGGCACTAAGTGGTTGGCCATCCTTTGTCCATGACACTTGTGGTGAAGGGGTACCAGTAACATCAATCTCTAAATGGAGACGTTCATTCACACCCACCACAGCAGGCTGCAGCCTTTTTGAAATCACAGGTGGAAACTGAGTCTCTGTATAAAAAAAAGGTGATATAAAATAAAATTACTGTATGTAGTATTGGTTAAAAAATACTATTTAATAACAAATAAATTTGTTTGGTTAATCTGCAGAGCCTTTCCATCTTAGTAAGTATTGTACTATTTCAATAACAGTATCTGTGCATATAGATAACCACTGTAAACTACATCAAACCCATCATCACCAGCCAAGAAGCAGTAATCAGAACAACAACAACTGATTTCTTCAAACTACAAATAACTCCCTTTGTTCAAACCCACTGAACATAATTAACACAACCATTGTCTTGTGATCATTTTAATTACAAAGGCCTATACTCAAATACTAACGCAGATGTCAAACTCTTCTGGAAGGGATATAACAAAAGCCATGAACACAGCATAAGATATAGGTACTCTCTCACCTACTTTGGGTTTGACTATGTCAATGTACCATCCAAATAAAGACCTAAAATATGGAATATTCTTCCTAATTATGTAAAGTATTGCATCTGCAAAAGTGCCAGACCACCCAGGCAATGGTGGGTATGTGGGCCTGCGGGCCGATCCCAGCAACCGCCTGTTGGACCAAGCTCTCACATGTCAAGCCTGGTCCCAGGCCAGGCTTGGGAAGTAAAAGAACTCCCAAAAACTCATCCAGGTACATCATATACATTAATCATATGAAATACAAAGGAATGAATTTCTTCACTGTAGTACCCCATCTTGTTATTGTTCTCCTAAATCTAATCTGAAGTATTAACCTACTAATTCACATATGACTATTTCTAAATATAACTCCATCAGAATGTATTATCATAACCTTAACTTCGTAATACTGTTATATAATTAACACTAAAATCTTAACATTAATATATGCCTAGATGCTAATTATAATATATCAGTTACTTTCAAGTACTTTGTTTAAGATTGATGTTGGTACTTTTAGCTTCAAAATCATTGTAAATTTTCCATGTACTGTATACCACAATTATTATGTTAGCCTTAAGACTTCCTCAAAATATTACGTATACTATATCATTGGCTTTTGTGAGATTTTACCTAACTTATTACTTTATCCATATCAATTAAGCTATCCACTGTTCTAATATGAATATATTAGCACAATTTTTTTTTACAAAACCAACTACCATCTTCCCAAATAAAGAATATAATCATTATTATACAACACTTTGTAGCAAGGAAAAGGTCATCTTAGCTTGGACATTAATGAAAAGATGGAAGAGGAGGAGTAATGGGAGAAGGAAGAGGAGTAATGGGAGGAGGAAGAGGAGTAATGGGAGGAGGAAGAGGAGTAAGGGGAGGAAGAAGAGTAGGAGGAGGAGGGGGAGGAGGAATATGAGTAAGAGGAGTAGGGAGAGGAGGAAGAGGAGTAGGGGGAGGAGGAAGTAGGAGGCAGTGATGATATTGAGACAGAAAAGATTCAAATGTTTACCATATAAATTGTTCACGTAAGAAAAGCACACGCTAATGCAACACATGAACCAAAACATGGCACTTACTCTTAACGATGACATCACAGGTACATTGAGCCGAGCCAGTTTCGTTCTCTATGAGACAGGTGTAGTGTCCAGAATGCTTCTGGCTCACTCTTGGAATGATCACAGTTGTCTTGTTAAGGTGTGTCTTCACTTGAGCTTCATTGCTAAGTGGTCCACCGTTATGGGTCCAGGTCACTACTGGGTCTGGGTGACCTTTTAATGAAAATGTTAAATTAAGAAACAATGTGCAGTGGCACCTCCCAAATCCACACAACCATAGTATAATAAATTCCAGTAAATAATGGACCAATTTTGCTACTGGATCACAGATCTAAAATTCAGAATTTTTAGAGTTAACATCCAGATTTTCAATTCATCAGAACAAGATAGCAATTTTCAGCAGATTCTTATAGTTGATGCCCATCATACGACAAGATGAAATTATAATTTTGCTTAGTAAAATTTACCAACACTGCTGAGATTTTAATGATTTTACAAAATTTTCCTTGTCAGGGATAGGAAGCCTGTAATATGGCTTATTGAAGTCCTTATTGGCCAGCTTCCAACCTTTTCCAGGATGCACCCCACAACAATTGCCTAACTTCTGGGTATACATTTCATTGCAAAGTTAACAGAAGCATTAAGTGAAAGGAAATGTTCGGATTTCTGTTCTGTCCAGGAAATGAACCCAGGTCTCTCAATTGTGAGCCGAGGATGTAGGCCACTGTGCTGCAGGACCCTTATGTAGGTTCACGTATGAACCCCGGAGGTGGTGGTGAAGGAATGTTATCGAGCATAATGTAGTTAAAACAAAATCTCTAGTCTTCATTTTGAGTTTGTCGTGAATCTAGTTTTCATTTTGAGTTTGTCGTGAATCTAGTCTTCATTTTGAGTTTGTCGTGTATCATTTGCTATTAGAACATTTCAAACTACAATATTCAGATATAAGTAGCAGAAAAGGGGCAATGTTTTGAAAATCCTAAATTTCTCACAAATTTAGCTTTGGTTCATAATGACAATCCTGATTTTAGAGGTGCCACTGTATTTAGGGATTATAAACCTACCTGAAAACAAAAGTGATTAAATTAAATCAAATATAACCCTATAATTTCTTATGCAAAAAAAGTACTATGACTTTTGTAAGAACCATAGAATCAAAGAAAAATTTACATTATATGGTTTATATTATATACTTTTCATATTTTAATATTTTTTAGTGTATATTTAAGGAGTTCCAGACATTTGTATAGCTTCATGCTATACTCTGGTCTCGTAGTACAGTTATCTCCAGTCTCGACTCGCAATCAGGGATCCCGATTGGGACAGAACTGGCTGGGCACATTTCCTTTCACCTAATGCCTCTGTTTACCTAGCAGTAAATAGATACTGTACCTGGGAGTTCAACAACTGTTGTAGAGTTGCTTCCTGGGAAGAGTCAGTAATTCACCTTACGGAAAATTGAATACAAGACTAAAGTACTGTATATATACACACACAGGCTTCCTTTCTCCAACAAAAATGTAATAATTATCATATAGTACGTGCTATAGGATATTTTAGCACCAATGTTCAATGGCTGGCAATTTTACCTTTCAGTAATTGAAAACTTACCATCAATGAGACATTCCAATATGATTTGGTCACCTTCCTTGGTAATGACACCTTGAAGAGGAGCAACAAATCTTGCTGGCATTGACTTCTTCTTAGATATAACTATTTTCTTGGCAGGAGGCAAGATTGCAGTAGTGCCAGAATCTTGGCTGATGTGATGAGTGATTACTTCCCCTTCCCTTTTTACCAGACTCATCTGAAAACATTGTTTAATAAATGTAAGAATGAAGCATCAAGTGTAATGAAAAACCCTTACTAGGTTGCACCAAGAAAGGCCATTTACTTAAATTTAATTGAGCAAGATTAAATTATATTTAATGATAACACTTTGAATCCAAGTCTGGGATTGTATAAAATTTATAGTTTTGGTCAATAAAATACCTACTAATTTCCAGGGGCACAATATCATTGGGGTGATGGAGAAGAATGATGTAATATGATGTGTAGTTTGATGGTGTGTGTGTGTGTGTGTGTGATTATGTAGTGATGGTGGTGTTGGTTTGGAAAGTGTTGCTGTGTGAATACTTATTTTAATATTTAGGGGATTTGGTTGTAATTACTTAAGTGTAATTACCTAACTGTAGTTACAGGCTGAGAGCTACGTTTGTGGTGTCCCGTCTTTCCAGAATTCGGTCATATAATGCTTTGAAACTACTGACTGTTTTAGCCCCCACCACCTTCTCACTTAACTTGTTCCAACCGTCTACCACTTTGTGCGCGATAGTGAATTTTCTTATATTTCTTCAGCTGCTCTTTTTTGTCAGTTTAAATCTATGACCTCTGGTTCTTAAAGTTCCAGGTCTCATTGATTCCCATTACAAATTTGTATGTAGCGATCATATCGTCTCTTTTACTTGGTGTGTGTGTGTTATTTTACTTAGTTTTAAGTATTACACCCCTCCCCCACATTAATCTTATACAGGGTGTATACTGTATTATTACCCTAATTATTTTTACATTTTACCTGAAAGGTTCTGCATATTAGTGGCTTAATGTATTGTACTTTTCTTACTTTTAAATTCTCCACTGTTCATGTATTATCTACATATGTACTTTTGCATAAATAAAATTATGTATTATCATTGTTATTAATATTATTATTATTATTATTATTATATAGTATCATATGTAGTTTACAAATTTTAAAACAAAAAATATTTAAGAATTATGGGGATTTTATATTCTATGGTCAGGCAAGGAATGGTAAAGACAACAGTAGTCTACTCTAAGATTAATCTTTATGTTTAGTAACCCGTTAAAAGATCATCCTGTTAAAATATTTAAATGTCATGAACAAGTTTCTAACCTTATCACTGACTATTGGTGGGGCACCTCCCTCCTGCCTCATCTCTTGCAAGTGGGCACCATGGACCTGCCAGATACACATTAACTTAAAACAAAAATACAGGTATAATTCTCATTACAAATCTCAAATGATAGCAAATCTACCAGAATATCAATCAACTTGTATTAGTGAAAAATGTCAAGTTGTCACCTCAACAGTTGGCTGGCCTGTAGCTGTCTTCACATGAGAAGTGGAAGTGGCAGACATGCTGTGCTTCTTCTCATCAGCAGCACCATCAGAGGAGACCACTTTTGTGACATGACTAGTCTCCATGATGGTGCTTTTCTGGAACATGGTGGTAGATGACGAGCTGGAGGTAACATGGCTCTCCTCCCTCGTTGTTTGATGTACCACAGGCATGATTGATGGAACTTCAGACACTGGAGGTTCTGCAGGAAACAAAACGTATATTTTATCATTTTTGCATGGTCAATTGTAATTTTCCTTGTGCGATTGCAGTATCAGAAAATCCTTCTCTTGTATAAATGTAGCAATTCCACTTCACTTGATGAACACTAATTAAGAAAGTGTACTGTATTCAGGACTTTTTAGACTTGCTTGTCTGCATTACACTTTATTTTTTTGCAGATTGTCTACTGTATTTGATTACCCTTTGGCCACCTGGAAAAGCAGTGCACTCCTAGCCCAGCTACTCTCAGCATTAATACAAGTCACATCTCAAGAGAGATACTGTATGAAATAGAGAAACAGAACATGCACAAATACATGATGGCATTCACACACATGCCCATGAGATGGAGCTCATTTCTTGCAAACATTGACTAAATTTAGCATCCAGTTTGTAAGACAGACAGACAGACAGACAGACAGACAGACAGACAGACAGACAGACAGACAGACAGACAGACAGACAGACAGACACTGTCCGATTGGCAGAGTTTCTTTCACCCTATGCCCGTTACCGAGCAGTAAATAGGTACCTGGGAGTCAGCTGTCACAGGCTGTTTCAAGGGGTGTGTGTGTGGTGTGGAGAAAAAAAAAGTAGTAGTAGTAGTAGAAACAGTTGATTGACAGTTGAGAGGCGGACTGAAAGAGCAGAGCTCAACCCCACTAGCACAACTAGGTGAAACTAAGTGAATACACACACACACACACACAACAGGTCTGTTGTGAGGTCTTCACAACAGAACAAAGTGAGGTCACTGTGCTAGGAGAAAGGGAAGTAAACCAGGCGGCCTTGGAAGAGTTTGAAATTACGAGAGAGGAGGTCAAGAGACACCTGCTGGACCTGGATGTTAGAAAGGCTGTTGGTCCAGACGGGATCTCGCCATGGGTACTGAAAGAGTGTGCAGAGGCACTTTGCTTGCCACTCTCCATAGTGTATAGTAGGTCACTGGAGATGGGAGACCTACCAGAAATATGGAAGACGGCGAATGTGCTCCCAATATACAAAAAGGGCGACAGGCAAGAGGCACTGAACTACAGGCCAGTGTCCTTAACTTGTATACCATGCAAGGTGATGGAGAAGATCGTGAGAAAAAACCTGGTAGCACATCTGGAGAGAAGGGACTTCGTGGCAAATCGACAACATGGGTTCAGGGAGGGTAAATCTTGCCTGACTGGCTTAATAGAATTCTATGACCAGGTAACACAGATTAAGCAAGAAAGAGAGGGCTGGGCAGACTGCATTTTCTTGGATTGTCGGAAAGCCTTTGACACAGTACCGCATAAGAGGCTGGTACATAAGCTGGAGAGAGAGGCAGGTGTAGCTGGTAAGGTGCTCCAGTGGATAAGGGAGTACCTAAGCAATAGGAAGCAGAGAGTTACGGTGAGGGGTGAGACCTCCGATTGGCGTGAAGTCACCAGTGGAGTCCCACAGGGCTCTGTACTCGGTCCTATCTTGTTTCTGATATATGTAAATGATCTCCCGGAGGGTATAGATTCATTTCTCTCAATGTTTGCGGACGATGCCAAAATTATGAGAAGGATTAAGACAGAAGAGGACTGTTTGAGGCTTCAAGAAGACCTAGACAAACTGCAGGAATGGTCGAACAAGTGGTTGTTAGAGTTTAACCCAACCAAATGTAATATAATGAAGATAGGTGCAGGGAGCAGGAGGCCAAATACGAGGTATTATCTGGGTGAGGAAATTCTTCAGGAGTCAGAGAAAGAAAAAGACTTGGGAGTTGATATCACGCCAGACCTGTCTCCTGCAGCAAATATCAAGAGGATAACATCAGCGGCATATGCCAGGCTGGCCAACATACGAACGGCATTCAGAAATTTGTGTAAAGAATCATTCAGAACTTTGTATACCACATATGTCAGGCCAATCCTGGAGTATGCAGCCCCAGCATGGAGTCCATATCTAGTCAAGCATAAGACTAAACTGGAAAAGGTTCGAAGGTTTGCCACCAGACTAGTACCCAAGCTGAGAAGTATGAGCTACAAGGAGAGACTACGGGAATTAAACCTCACATCGCTGGAAGACAGAAGAGTTTGGGGGGAGGACATGATCACCACATACAAGATTCTCAAAGGAATTGATAGGGTAGTTAAGGATATGCTATTTAACACAAGGGGCACACACACTAGGGGACACTGGTGGAAATTGAGTGCCCAAATGAGCAACAGAGATATTAGAAAGAACTTTTTTAGTGTCAGAGTGGTTGACAAATGGAATGCATTAAGAAGTGATGTACTGGAGGTAGACTCCATACACAGTTTCAAGTGTAGATATGATAGAGCCCAGTAGGCTCAGGAACCTGTACACCAGCTGATTGACAGTTGAGAGGCGGGACCAAAGAGCCAGAGCTCAACCCCCACAAGCACAAATAGGTGAGTACACATACTGTGTGCCTCGCCTCGTTTGGGGGGGGGGGGGCCTCGCAGCTGAGTGGACAGCGCTCTGGGGTCGTAGTCTTAAGGGCCCGGATTCGATCCTCGGCAGAGGCAGAAACAAATAAGCAGAGTTTCTTTCACCATGATGCACCTGTTCACCTAGCCGTAAATAGGTACCTGGGAGTTAGGCAGCTATTGTGGGCTGCTTGTTGGGGATGTGTGTGTGTGTTAAGAGAGAAATATATGTAGTAGACATAAGACGAAAAATAAATTGGTTAGTAAGACGGGGTCCAAGAGCTAATAGCTCAATTCTACGGGCACAAATAGTAAATAAACGCACACACACACATATATATATATATATATATATATATATATATATATATATATATATATATATATATATATATATATATATATATATATATATATATATATATATATATATATATATTTATTTTATTAAATATGACCGAAAAAGTAAGATTAATAATTCTAACACGAATTTTCTCAATCTTTCGTACATTATGCTTCACTGTTGGAGGTAAATCAAAAATCACTTCTCCAAAATTCATTTTTATTTCTAGTCTGACGCGACACGGGCGCGTTTCGTAAAACTTACTACATTTTCAAAGACTTCACAAATACACAACTGATTAGAACTTGCGTTTCCCTGATTTTATATCTACATTTGAGTGAGGTGGGAAGGGTGATGTGGCATTACATTTGAGTGAGGTGGGAAGGGTGATGTGGCATTACATTTGAGTGAGGTGGGAAGGATGATGTGGCATTAGAGAATATTAATAGGGTATTAAAAGTATCAACACAAGACAGAACACGAAACAATGGATATTGAATAGAAGTGTTTGTAGAAAGCCTATTGGTCCATATTTCTTGATGCTTCTATATTGGAGCGGAGTCTTGAGGTGGGTAGAATATAGTTGTGCAATAATTGGCTGTTGATTGCTGGTGTTGACTTCTTGATGTGTAGTGCCTCGCAAACGTCAAGCCGCCTGCTATCGCTGTATCTATCGATGATTTCTGTGTTGTTTACTAGGATTTCTCTGGCGATGGTTTGGTTATGGGAAGAGATTATATGTTCCTTAATGGAGCCCTGTTGTTTATGCATCGTTAAACGCCTAGAAAGAGATGTTGTTGTCTTGCCTATATACTGGGTTTTTTGGAGCTTACAGTCCCCAAGTGGGCATTTGAAGGCATAGACGACGTTAGTCTCTTTTAAAGCGTTCTGTTTCGTGTCTGGAGAGTTTCTCATGAGTAGGCTGGCCGTTTTTCTGGTTTTATAGTAAATCGTCAGTTGTATCCTCTGATTTTTGTCTGTAGGGATAACGTTTCTATTAACAATATCTTTCAGGACCCTTTCCTCTGTTTTATGAGCTGTGGAAAAGAAGTTCCTGTAAAATAGTCTAATAGGGGGTATAGGTGTTGTGTTAGTTGTCTCTTCGGAGGTTGCATGGCTTTTCACTTTCCTTCTTATGATGTCTTCGATGAAACCATTGGAGAAGCCGTTATTGACTAGAACCTGCCTTACCCTACAGAGTTCTTCGTCGACTTGCTTCCATTCTGAGCTGTGGCTGAGAGCACGGTCGACGTATGCGTTAACAACACTCCTCTTGTACCTGTCAGGGCAGTCGCTGTTGGCATTTAGGCACATTCCTATGTTTGTTTCCTTTGTGTAGACTGCAGTGTGGAAACCTCCGCCCTTTTCCATGACTGTTACATCTAGAAAAGGCAGCTTCCCATCCTTTTCCGTCTCGTAAGTGAAACGCAGCACGGAACTCTGCTCAAATGCCTCCTTCAGCTCCTGCAGATGTCTGACATCAGGTACCTGTGTAAAAATGTCGTCAACATACCTGCAGTATATGGCCGGTTTCAAGTTCATGTCGACTAAGACTTTTTGCTCGATGGTACCCATGTAGAAGTTTGCAAACAGGACACCTAGGGGAGAACCCATAGCGACCCCATCTACTTGCTTATACATATGCCCATCCGGGCTCAAGAAGGGTGCCTCTTTAGTACAAGCTTGGAGTAGTTTCCTCAGAATACTTTCTGGCATGTCTTGACATGCCAGAAAGTATTCTGAGGAAACTACTCCAAGCTTGTACTAAAGAGGCACCCTTCTTGAGCCCGGATGGGCATATGTATAAGCAAGTAGATGGGGTCGCTATGGGTTCTCCCCTAGGTGTCCTGTTTGCAAACTTCTACATGGGTACCATCGAGCAAAAAGTCTTAGTCGACATGAACTTGAAACCGGCCATATACTGCAGGTATGTTGACGACATTTTTACACAGGTACCTGATGTCAGACATCTGCAGGAGCTGAAGGAGGCATTTGAGCAGAGTTCCGTGCTGCGTTTCACTTACGAGACGGAAAAGGATGGGAAGCTGCCTTTTCTAGATGTAACAGTCATGGAAAAGGGCGGAGGTTTCCACACTGCAGTCTACACAAAGGAAACAAACATAGGAATGTGCCTAAATGCCAACAGCGACTGCCCTGACAGGTACAAGAGGAGTGTTGTTAACGCATACGTCGACCGTGCTCTCAGCCACAGCTCAGAATGGAAGCAAG